CTCGCCTGGCCGCGCCTCGCCTCGCCTGGCCGCGGGGCCGCTGCCGGGCGCGGAGGGGTACCCACGTTTCCAGAGGGGTTTCGCTCCCTGCGCCGGGCCAGAGCGGCTTTGCGAGCGGCAGAGATGTCCCAGGGCACAGCTGGAGCACAGGGTGCGCCCCAAGTGCAGCCGGAGGGGAAAGAGAGGCAGAGGAAGAGGAGGCGGAGGAAGAAGAAGGAGGGTAAGACGCGACTGGTGCGCTCCAACTTGCTGTTACTCGAGCCTGAGACGGAGAAGTCCAAGAGGACCGTCTTGGCCAGCAACCGCCTCAAGACCACCAAGTACACGGCACTGTCCTTCTTGCCCAAGAACCTCTTTGAGCAGTTCCACCGCCTGGCCAACGTCTACTTCGTCTTCATCGCCCTGCTCAACTTCGTGCCGGCGGTCAACGCCTTCCAGCCGGAGCTGGCCTTGGCCCCCGTGCTGTTCATCCTGGCAGTCACTGCCATCAAGGACCTGTGGGAGGATTATAGCCGCTACCGCTCCGACAAGGAGATCAACCACATGGAGTGCCTGGTGTACAGCAGGTGAGGTGGCCTGGGCCGGGCGCCAGGATGGGGAGCGCCATGGTGGTGGTGCCCCGCGGGGCGTGGGGACTTGAGCGAGCAGACGTGTGAATGCACAGCAGTGGGCAGGTCTGCTCCGAAGAGTTTTGATTCACCCCCTGAGTGCGAAGAAACGCTCGGTTGTCCTTGGGATTGGCGTCTCCTGCCTCTTGATCCAAAACTGTGGGTGTTCCTAAAGTCCTGTGCTGTCAGACGAAAGCTAGTTCGCTCTGACCAGTGGGAATGCCACAGTAAATTACTGAATTATGAGTAAGCGATGTTTTTGTATATGTGTATGCTCTGGGCTTTGTCGTGTTTTATGTTTTAAAGGGAGGACAGTGCATCACAAAGAGAACGTAAGTGTCGCAAGCATCGTTTGATTTGTGAGCCTTTATGGGAATACTTCACAGTGTGAGCGGTCAATTATACTGGGGTATAGTTTCAGGCATTAATTTGGTTTTAGTAGTATGAGACCTCACTCAAGTTATCTGCTATTAAATCTTTGCTGAGCAAAGGATAGAGGCCAGAGGCTTCTGCATTTGAATGAGGGTTCATGACATGCGAATCAGTGAGCCTGAGCTGTGTTTGCTTTTCTAAAGAATGTAAGGCAGTCCCTTCATTGAACGTTTATTTTAAGTGAATACTTTTTATTTATCGTCTCAACTGCCATCATTCCCTGTGACTTCTCTACCTCCTGCAGTGTTTGGTCATTCATCTCCTCTAGAAAGCTTTTTAATGATCTGGGCTTTAGACCACATCCTTGGTATCTGTAAATCAGACTGAAATGACTTTTGTATTAACATTTTTATGTGCTCAGAATCCAGCTTCACAGAACCATTGTTTTGTTTTGTTTCCAACTTTGCTAGATAGTCATCTCGTAGCAGCTAAAGCTGAGATTTTCTGGGGGCTGAGGGAAGAGCTCAGCTTCCATGAGAGCAAGTTTTAGTGCTCTGCCTCATGCTTGTAGATCTAACAGAAAAGAAGCACGTGCCAAGAAGCTTACATTGATTCCCCAAGCTGTCTGGGAGAGGTCCTCTGGCCTGACGTAAGCATGAAGGCAGAGAGCAATTCTCCTACTGTAAGAAAGTCACGTAAAAAAAAAAAAAAACCTAAAAAGTCTGCATTTTCAGCATTCAGCCTACTAAGTTTGTTCTTTCACAGACTAATAGTACATAAGAAATCTCAGCCAGGGATATACCCCTACCTGTAGATGCATGTGTGGGAACAGAAGTAAAATGCTCTTTTTTATGTAAACTAAAACTAAAATAACTAACCCAGCCAAATCACACATGTGGGCAATGCTAACAGAAGGCCATGCCTAGTGCCTAGCTCAACTGTAGCTGTCCTTAACCCTGAATAGTTCTGCGATGGAGGGGGGGGGTGAGTGAGAAGAGGGCTGATAAGGGACCATTCTTGAAAAAAAGTGAAGCAGTGCTAATGAGAATGGCAAAATCTAGCTCCCATCAGATAAAAGTGATTTAGAAATGGGTTATCTTGTGTCCTAGGTTGAAAGGAAAAAAGAAGTGCCTGGTGCAGAAACTGTTTCAAAATATCAATGAATGCTAATACTAGAACATTAACTCTGGAGTGTTTCTTCCCCTTGCAATTTTCCATACCCTTGTCTGCTGCCAAAAAAGGGAGAAGTGACTATGAAAAAGGTGTACCTTCAGTGCTAATGTCACTTGTGCTCTTTTGGGAGTCCCACCTAAGCACATTGCCCTTTGTAACGCTTATCCTGTGCCAGGCTGAAAATCAGAACTTTTCCTTAGACTGCAGAATTTGGATTACTTTTGAGTGACATTTTCATGGATTAATTTGGGAGTAGTTTAGATAGCTTTGCGTTTGCATCAGAGGTGCATGCTAGCTTAATCCCTGTGGGGCAGTGAATGTGAAAGCCCAGGAACTCTTAGCCACCTATTCAAATACAGCTTACTGAGTAGGAGCAAAGGGTTGAACTTCCTTAAAGCAGCCTGCAGAAGCAGAGTAGCAGCTCACCTATTTCCACCTTCAAACAGTAATTAGGAATCAGTCCCCCTACCCCCAATTTAAAAAATGAAGGTAAAATAATTTATTTTTATGTTTTTAATCTGCCCTCTGTTTTATTTTTAGTCTTTCTTTAGTCTTTTTTAAACTTTACGAAGTCACCTTTTTGAACATTCCCCAGCCCTAGTACAAACCAAGTTTCTCACCAACTTGCATGGCTTCTGTAGCTGAATCTTGAAAGAAGGGAACCAAGACTGGGATTGTGTTAAGCTCATGAAGGTTGCTGGGAGTGAGTTCAGAAAAGCTATTTTCTCAGAAAGGTGTAGTGCCCGAAGCACAAGGCTGTGACTTTGCTTTGTTTCCTTATACCTTTTGCTTCTGGAAAAATGCTGAAGGAGAGATGTCACTTAAGAAAGCAATAAATGACAAGTTTTCTCTCCACATTTGTTTTACGCTGATCACTTTATCAGTTCTACTACCTTGACCAAGTGACTCATTCTCTTTTTTTTTTCCTTTTCCTGTCACTTCCTTGTGGTGCTGTACAGACAGTCTTTGATGCAAATACCGTTCTCGATACAGATGCTTCTGCAGGTAGGGCAGGTTAATGAACATCATTGCAGTCACGTGCCCCCCAGAATTGCTGGATTTTCTGGAGAGCAGCAGCTGTTCTCCTGCAGGTCAGTACTTCACAGCTTTGAAAGAGGCTTCCTGAGAGATGGGATGTGTGTAAGTCCCAGACAGGTCTTCTGCACTGTGACGGGCTCCTTTTCCTGCCACCCTCCTACACAGCCGAAAGATAACCACTTCAAACGCAGAGTATAGCAAACAGCTGCTAATTATAACAGTCAGCAGCTCACAGCAGGGTCTTTTGCTTCACTCTACCAGAGACAATCCCTCTGTCTTATGTTATATACTCTTGGCTCCTTAATGACCAGGTAAAGATTCAAGTCAGATCATGTGTATTCTGTCATGTATCCTTCATGTGTTGCTGTTCTGGCTGCTGAAGTACCAGCCCCCTATTACACACAAGGAGCAATTAATGATGTGAGATCTACATAATGGAGAGAAATTAGGGATAGGCAGGGCCTACTACAGTTCACCCCAACTCATCAAAAAGGTGCTCCAGCTGCGTGAGAGCAATGTCCCCTGCGAGAGTCTCTGGAAGAACTTAACACAAACAGACCCCGTCAGGAATCTGAACGTGAGGAGGAAATTCTGTTCTCCTCCTATGCAGACTACTAAACAGCTGGTGTGCAGGCTAGGCCTTCTTCCTCCCGCCTTCCTAGTGGTGCGGACTCAGATGACCCTTCCTCATACAACCACCGCTGAATCAATGACTCACTGGTTCATAGTTGGCAAAACTTATCAGACAAACACAGCAAAAGATGATGCAACGTAAAGTAAAAGCTCGAGAGAGATGTAGCTTGTTTTCAGAGAAGGAGAAGAGAGCTTTCATTTAGAAACTCTGGATATTTTGGAGAGTCCCTCAAAAGCTATTGCTTTCTAGAGTCAGTTAGTTTAAAGGGAAAAGACCTGATTCTTTGAATTAATTGAAAGAAGCTATTTGAACTGGCAGCATATGTCAAGGAATGAAATATGCTGGAGAAGTGCAGACTTCTGTTGCCAGGTGATGGAGTTTGCAGGTTTGCCCCTGAGAGCATTCAGGGTCTTGACAGACAAAGAAGGGAGCTTTTTTTAGCCAAGAGAAGTGAATAGGGCCTGTCTCTGGAGGTCTTTAAAGGCACCTCTCTTGTTTGACTCTATAGAGGAACTTAGGTGCTTAGTTTAGGAGGGCAATTTCAGAGGTCACCTAAAACTTAGATTCAGTCCAGGTGCTTAAGTTAAGACAACCTGGATCGCAGCCAGAGCTCCTGCTTAGTCAGTTTAAACGCAGGTTTAAAGCTCTACATTAGAGCGCAGCCTGCAGAAGATTATTTTGTGTGCATAACCTTCGCAGCACTGTTGTCATCTTTCTTAGTCTCCTCTCTTCATTTGTCTTCCTCATTTCCACCACCCAGGGATGAAGGTTGAAGAATGGAGATCACAAATTCACAATCCCATAGTGAAATCTTGTTAGGTTTCTGGGTTCTTCTCTTGGACCTGGAGGTTTGGGAGGGTGACTTTCTGTTGGCAGTTGTTGACCTCCGGTCTTCACCACCTCTGGCTAGAGATATGAATCGCACAGGTAAATGTTTGCTCCAAATAGTTCCGAAACATACATGTTGCTGCTGCTGCTAATATATGATAGAACTATATTTGTCCTAGGGGCAGAAGTATTAAAACTCTTAGGAGGAGAGGCTTTGTTTTCAGTGTGCTTGTGAAAAAGTGCGCTATACAATCGCAACAAATAGTGGCAATCATCCAGCCGGGAATTATATTTTGTAACTGACTCAGTACTGTATTGGTGAAATAATCTCAGCTAACGTTTTTCTAGGAGCCCAATACAGGGGCTTTGCTTTTTCAGTGTACTATGTGATTCTTGCTGTGTCCATTGAAGAGAATTGCTAAAGAATGTCATGGTCTCTGCATACTGATCAGGGAGTGATAACTGTTTCTTCCGCCAACCTGTGACGTGGAAAATTCATGACAAATTGGAATTTATGACCTGATATTTTTCTCCCCTGAGGTGTGGAAGATCTTTAATGGGGCACTCAGAGATCTATCAAAGCAGGCTGTTTTATATTAGATGCTAATTTCTTCCTGCAAAACTAAGGAGGAGAGAAGAGTTTGATGTTGGCAAGTTGGTTCATGCAATTTCCAGAATATACTCCCTCCTTCTTCCCCTCTGTCAGCTGCCAGTGAAGGCATTTCCAGCCTCAGAAAAAAAGATACAGCAGTGCTACCAGCTCTTCGCAAGGGCAAAGCAGATTCCACCCGTGGGTTCTAAGCTAGCCACATGACGACTTGTCCCATAACCACCCCACTTCTAAGCTCCCTGTTTTCCTGGCAACACTGATCTCTCCGGATTATCTCCCCTCACTACCCAAATGGACCAGAGT